ACGTATATAATGTATTATTCTAAAGACTGTGTATACTATATTAAATTCATACGTTTATAACGTATTTTCTATAGTTGTACTGGATATTGTATTTGTTTTTATTGTTTTTATTAACTTTACAACTTTATACTAGATACGGCGTTGTCAACCCTACATACGGTAGACCCCACGCCCAACTTAAAAGAATACACTCCAGTAGGTTAGATGTCAGTTATAAAGTCACACTACGAAAATACCATACAGAAAAAATGAAGGTTATGGAAAATCCTGCTAATATTGCTTACGATCACTCAGTGACACTCACCAAAACGGGTATATTATAAAGAATATTCCAAATTGCGATTTGATATCGAACGAAAGCCAAATCAAGTGAAACGATAGAATAGACTATCACATAGTATTTTAAATCAGGAAGATTTTTCGAATCAACTTAAACCCTTCTTGTTACATGGACGCCAATATAAAAATGGTAAAAAATTCAATTCCATAATATTTAAACAGATACAATAAGTCACCGAAAAATATTTTAAAGAAAAAACACGCTCAAAAAGCATGAATATGATCTTTCGTCATATACCACATCGCATTCATTAATAAAAATTCGGGACAATTTCCTTAATAAATTTTTTTTAAAGTACAAACCCTGATCAGTAAAATTTTCTTATTACTGCTTATTTTTAACGTCCAATTTAAATTACGATCATCAATAAAAATTTGCGCGAAATTTTCTTAATAGTATTTAATCTTTAAAGCGCAAAATACTGCTTAATTTTAATGTTCAAAGTCCGATCTACATCTGCTTAATTTAAGAAAAATTCGCGAGAATTTTCCTTAATACCGCTTATTTTTTAAGGTTCAACTGATCTACTGCTTAATTTAAGAAAAATTCGCGAGTATTTTCCTTAATATCATTGAATTTTTATTTTAAGTTCAAACTATAAGAAATCTGTATATGGAAATGATATGTTTTATATATATTTGATATACGTTTTTATAAATTCCGTATTAAATTCCGTATACGGTAAACTAAAAATCACGATTTCTAGAAAAATTCTCACGAATTTTTCTTGATACTGCTTATTTTAAAGTTTAAAGACCGATTAGCAAACTGAAATCATGATTTCAAGAAAAATTCTCACGAATTTTTCTTGATACCGCTTATTTTTAAAGTTTAAA